CAATTTTTTGCAAGTGTAGAAAGATAAGATTTTTAGGAAGGGCAGTTTGGCATTATTTATCCAAATTAAAAATATTAATACCTTTTATACCACAGTTGTACATCTGAGCGTTTCCTTTTGGAGACATACTCATATGTACAAAAAAGCATATGCAAACCTGCCAGAATATGCAAGGCATATACAGAATAATAAAGGTATTCTGAAAGTGAAATATTGAAAAGTACTTAAATGTCCATTTCAGGGGAATGAGCAAATAAATTAGGATTTATCCATACTGCAAAATAATACAGTAGTTTAAAAAGGCTGCAATAGATCTATATGGACTGAAAGGGAAAAATATTCAAGACATATTAAGTGGACAAATGTCTAATGTAACATTCTGGGTAATCCCATTTGTGTAAGAAAACTATTTTGTGGACATGCTTATGTGTAGAAATATGTATACAAAGAGCACTACAGTGACAGCATTTGTTTCAGTTAGGGAAGGGATTAAAATTTAGGAATCAGAGCAAAACTGAATTTTTACTTTTTTATCCTGTTTACCTCCATAATTCAAAACCTTTACAATGAAATGTATTGATTCACCTACTTGTGTAAAATAAATATCCCCCCAAACGAATAAATGAACTCACCAAGCCCAAAGCCTGACATGTAATAGGTGCTCAAAGTCTCTGTGTCCCATGTGACATGAAGCCCAAACAAATACTGACATGAGGGGAAGCCATGGTTTTATTCACGTCATACAGACAGTGAACAGATCCAACTGCTCAACCTCGGTGTCAGTGAGAAACTTTCCAAAGAAGTACTTCAGGATCAAACAGCCTTGTAAAAGTTATCCTCTACCAAGGGAAAGCGAAATGGGGAAACGTTACAACCATTTTTCTGAAAAACAGCACCTTAAGTGCCAAGTTATTTGAAAATCACATAGTTGACCTAGTTCCTCTGTTTTTGCAGATGGGCCTGTAAACACCTGTTTTATAGACTTGCAGAAGACACTGAGGTTATTGAAAGAGCTAAGAGTAATAACCAAATATTCATTCCACAGACACTACCATGGGCAGTAGAGGTAACAAGGAAGTGCTGACACAAATCTGACCTTGAGGAGTACACAGTGCCGTAGGGGAGGCCGGCCAACTCACATTCAAATATCCTTTCATTAACACACATTTCTTGAGGCTCTACCATAAGCCAAGTATTGGTTTAGACACTGGGGACAATACAGTAAACAAAATAGAATAAAAATCAGTGTTATGGAGTTTGCATTCTAGTGAGGTATACAGAAATAAAGTAAATGAATAAAATATATAGTATGGATGAGAGTGATAGGTATTAAGCAGACAAATAAGGAAGACGGAAGTGACTTAGAAGCTACATTTTTCACAAATGGTGGGCTATAACCTGGAAGTCATAAATGAAAGTAACAAGGAAGAGTAGAGGAATAGAAGGGAATCATTTCTGAGGACCTACGGTACAGCATGGTGACTATGGTTAATAATACAGCATTGTATACTTAAAAGTTGTTGATAGTAGATCTTAATCATTGTTACCACACACACAGAAAAGAGTTAACTATGTGAGGCCATTGGTGTATTAATTGTCTTGATGTCGGTAATCCTCCCGTAATGTATCGGTACAGTAGCCCCCCCTTATACATGGAGGATGCATTCCAAGAACCCCAGTGGGGCCTGAAATTGTGGATAGTACTGAATCCTATATATTGGGTTGTTGGAAAAGTCATAACGCATGTTTGCAACAGATGGCACTAGTTCATTTTTAGAAGTACTAGAGTCATTCGCATCTATGTTATTGCTATGCCGTTTGACAGTTCTAGCTTCATTCTAAAAATCAACTGAGTGATTTGGTTGAGTTTTGGAGATTTTATAACAAGTTGAAGATGGAAGACCAAACTGCATTTTTGCCATATTTTACTGTTTTATTTCCATAAAGGGAAGACTGTACATCAAGCTTGTGAAAAGTTGCATGAAGTTTATGGTGACAATGCTTTACAAGAACGTCAGTGCCAACGATGGTTCACGAAATTCCGTGCTGGTGATTTTGATCTCAACGACGTTCCTCAGTCAAGGAGGCCCACCGAGGTTGATGATGATGAAATAAAGGCATTGATCGAGTCAAACCCATTTTACATGACAAAAGAGATTGCAGAAACATTGAACATCCATCATGCAAGCGTTCAGGACCACCTGAAGAAGCTGGGATACATAAGCAAGCTCGATATTTGGGTTCCGCTTGAACTCAAGTTCATTTGACAGCGTGTATAAACATCTGCAAATTGCTCATTAAATGTGAGGAAAATGATCCTTTTTTGAAGCGACTGATAACTGGTGATGAGAAGTAGATTGTTTACAACAATATGGTGTGCAGATGGTCTTGATCCTGACGTGATGATTCGCCTCAAATGAAATCGAAAGCAGACATTCATCAGAGAAAGGTTATGCTCTCAGTGTGGTGGGATTTTAAAG